GCTATACAACCTCGATCTTCGAGTGCAGGTGGCGGAGTCTCCCGCAGTGTGTCGGAGGTTGGTCCTGGCAGAAACCACCAGAGTTGGAGACCTCCTGGACTACGACAGGGGGGATTGGGTGGAGCCCCGCGCGCTTGGACGCTGCATGGGGCTTTCCACCCTTCCGACCCCTAGGCGCGTACTCCGGGAGGTGAAGGCCGCCTTGTCACCCGATTCTCTCGCTTTCCTGCGGCGAACCCTGCGAGAGGGTGCTCCCCGCCCACCCCTCACCCCTTGCCCTCCGGACATTTTTCTCGGGCTCCTGTTCCACGAGCCCTCCCGACCTCCCCGCTCCCACACTCCGAGCCGGCTGCACACCCTGCAGCTGGTCCGGTTTCGAACCGCGCCCAGAAACCATCTGTACACACTCGTGCTCCATACCTTACATTTCCTCACCCTCATGTCCTGCCCCAACACCAAATAGCGGGACTATCTTCCACCTAAAGAGGGTGAGGAGCCCTGGTGGGCCAGCCTTTATTCCACCTTGGTCCCACGGCCCGCCGGGGACATTAGTTGACAGCTCCTTCATGGAGCCGTGAGCAAGGGCATGCACCTGGAGCAGTTCAACCCTACACCTGAGGCCTGCCCCTTTTGCGGCATGAGGGATAACCTGGCACACACCTGTCTCGAATGCGCCAGGTTGCAGCCCCTATTCCGGCTCTTCCAGAACCTCTTGTTGAGGTTCTGGCTGCACTTTTCCCCACACTTGTTCCTTTTCGCACACCCTGTCCGTGGCCCCACAAAGTCGCGAGACCTCCTCGTCAACCTCCTCATGGCTCTGGCCAAAGTCTCCATCTACAGTACCTGGAGGAGGATGTTGGACGAGGGGGTGCTCTGCGACTGCGGGGCCTATTTCCGTTCCTCCCTAGTTTCACGCATCCGGGCAGAGTTCCACTGGGCAGCATCCGCTGGCTCCCTTGACAGCTTTGAGGAGCAGTGGGCGCTATCCAGGGTTCTCTGCTCGGTGTCCTCATCCGGCATCCTTAATTGGAACCTTTGACCCTCACTCCTGTCCCTGTTTTTCATTAGTTGTCCCCCGTAATCAGTTGGTCCCTGGGTCCAGTGGTCCCTCCCGCTAGCTAGGCTGGGGGAGGGGCCTTTAGCAATGGGTGGGCTTGCGCCCACCCACTTCCTGGGTTTTTCCAATACGATCCTGCTACAGGCAGTACCATACCATCCACCCTTACTTCTGCTGTGTTGCGAGCGGTGGCTCTGCCTTCAGAACTGGGCTCCCGGCCAGCAACTGCCACTCTCCAGCCGCCCAGCTCTGAAGGCAGCGCCGCCACCAGCAGCAGTGCAGAAGTAAGAGTAGCAATACCGCAACCACCCCCTACAATAACCTTGCGACCCCCCACAACTCCTTTTTGGGCCAGGACCCCGACAATTACACCACTGTGAAATTTCAGACTCAAATAGCTGAAATCATGAAATTAATGATTTTTAAAATCCTAAGACCCTGAAATTGACCAAAATAGACTGTGAATTTGGTAGGGCCCTACCTATAGGCTTTTAATTACACCACCATTGCAAAAGCTATTGTAAAGAGCTTGAATACAATTTGAGGACTTCAATAGCACAGATATAGGTGTGAGGTTTTTTGGAGGAGTGGTGGGTGAAATTCTGTGGCCTGCGTTGTGCAGGAGGTCAGACTAGATGATCATAATGGTCCCTTCTGACCTAAATATCTATGAATCTATGAATACTTTTGGGCGTGGATTTTGATGATAGTGCATTTATCGCTGACAATGCATCCCACATGTCTAAAGCTTACCTTCAAGTGCTTCAGGGATTCCTGCCAAATTCGTTTATTTTATCTTTAGCCCTCACATAGTAGCTAGCCCAGGCTAGTGACATCTGGAGGCCCAATTTCCCAGACATTTAAGAAGCTAACAGGCAAAAGTTTTTAAAATTTTGAGCAGAAAATTGCATTTTAAAGAACATCCACAAAGGGCAGGTGAGGCTGTGGGTTCAAATCCTCCTCTGAAATCGCCCTGTGAACCATTCCAGCGACTGCAGTGCTGAACCCTCATTGAATAAATAGTAGTCCTGCCTTACCAAGCCAAGCCTCCAACTGGGATGCTAGCTCTAGTGTGTAGTGCCCTGTGAAAGTGTGGCTAGAGCTGCAGCTCGCAGCTCTTCGTGTTTCCAAAATCACAACATGCCACGCCAAGGAAGTAGCCGTGGCCCTTGCGGAATGTGATCTATTGCTCTGACCAGGGGGATTTCTAGGTTTCTTTGTAGCTTTCTTCTTTGCACAACCAATAAACCCCTTAGACACGCATAACGACTGGATGTCGGGAATCTGGGCCTGCAGCAGAGGCGGTCTCCAGGCAAGGGCGCTTGAGCCTTCCCAAAAGTGGGGTGGGCCCTACCTCCCGAGGCCCCGCCCCCACCCCTCCTCTTCCCCTGGAGAGCCCAGGGCAGGTGGAGAGACCCAGGCTCCCCACAGCTGCCCATGTGACTCTCCACAACCGGGCTCCGGCCAGGGGGCGGGGCCTTGGAGCCTCAGGCCAGCCATGATAAGAGCCACGCGGACAGCTGTGGGGTACCGGGGTGGACCCTCCACCTGCCTGCGGTGCGGCGGGTCCAAGAGCAGCCCCTGGCCTGTATCCCCGCCCCCTTGGATCCCCCGCCCAGGGCAAGTGGAGGGTCCATGGCTCCCCACAGCTGCCTGTGCGGCTGTTACCATGGCCGTACTGCAGCTCCAAGGGCCCCCTGGCCAGAGCTGGGTCGATTTCAGAGACACACAAGCAGCTGTGGTGAACCGGCATGGAGTCGCGGACCCTACACCTGCTTGGGGTGGGACATGGGCTGGGCACTGCTTTCAGTCCCCACACCGTGGGCAGGTGGAGGGTCTGTGCAGCTCCCACAACTGCCCGGGCACCCCGGCCAGGCCCCACGCTGGCCTCGCTGGGAGGTGGGGCCTCAGGGGGAAGAGGAGGGGAAAGGGGTGGGGTCCGCCCTGGCAAAAAGTGGAGGGGCCATGTCCATCCACTTTCAAATCATGGGAGGGCTCTGGCTCCCCCGGCCTCCCCAGTTCCAGCGCCACTGTCTCCAGGCTACTTAATGAGCGCTGCGGGCCTATAGTTAGCTCCATTGCCTGATTGGTTGGAAGAGTCACCAGACCAGCTCTCAAACCCAGCATCTGCTCAAAGCACTCACCCACGGCTGCAACAGCTCCTCTGCTTGCTTGTTCCCAGCTGTGCTCCTGCTGTGCCTCGCCGCAGGTAACAGGGTCCTGATCCTCAGCTCCTATTCCTGACGGCTGGCTTCAGCGCTGACCCTTGGCTCTGGCATCTGGCCTCTGACGTCAGCTGCGACTCCTCGGCTCCAACTCCTGCTCTGACCACTAGGCACAACCACCCACATGCCAGTCACTGATGCCGGGGAACTCTGTAACTGGGAGGGGATTCTCTTTTACTTTCCCAGTGGAGAAGTGGGACACCAACATGAGCCCTCAGTTTTCCTTAGTCCCTTTACCTTTTTCCCCTGAGGATCCCTGACCGGGGTGTTTTCAAATCCATGTACAGACCCACCCGTGGATCCGACTGATGTGCTGGAAAGGGGGAAGCAGACAGTGCCAGGGAGTCTGAAATTGTCTCCAGCCTCTTTTTTGGCCACCATGTTTGGAACCAATATGCTTGTTCCATTTGGGGTACGACCCTCCGTAGGGGCTTTCCTATCACAAGGTCCTTTGGTTTTGGGGACAGAAGGAGGTTTCACCATGGAGGCCATGGGGTCTGAGGGTGTCCAGGTGTGCAGATGGGCTCTGTTAACAGAGGCTGCCCCCTGCAGGCTCCTGCCATGCTAAGAGATCAGCGCTGATGGCTGCGGATCCGGCAGTACCATGATCTTGGCCTTTTCCCTGCTAGCAGAGCTCGGTACTTTGGGTGATCTCTTGTACTGTTTTTTAGCTCCTGAAGGAGCTGGGCAGTGCTTACAGTATCCTGAAGAATGTGAGAGAGGCTCTCACATCCACAGGAGCAGCTTTAATAGAATAGTGGGTGCCCTGGCTTGATATTTTTTTTTAAACTAGGTCTACAACCTCTTGTGACCCCTACTTTAAACACTGGTGCTGAGGCAGGCTTATCCATATGCTCAAATCCTTTAGGCTTGAACCAGAGGGCTTGGCAGCTAAAGCTCCCTGGAAAAGCAGGTTTTAATGCCCCTTAGGAGCTCTTGAGGTGGAGGCACTGTGTGTCTGGGTGTAGCACAGCAAGCTGGAGAATCTCTCCCCGCTTCCCAAGCAAATCAGGCACCCAACATGGGTGTCTGAAGCAGGCAATGCAGCAGGCCAAGAGGCCCGCCTCTTAAATCCTGGCCAATTCCCTTTCAGCTCCATGGATCCGGGCTAGTACAGGGGAGCTGATCAAATCAATCAAGATATAAACATGAAACCCTCTGGAATGAGTCAGAGCCACCCAGCAAGGTTTCTGGTCCATCTGCAGCAGCAGCGGGAAGGGGCCCAGGTGGGCAGAGCAGCACACCCCCTTTTATAGCCTGTTCAGGAACAGCATAGGGAAGGCCAGGAGGGGGCAAGAGAGGAGGCCCACGAGCACTGCCATGAAACCCACCGCTGCCAGCGGCCCCACCAGCACACCCTGTGAGCGGGACTGTGCAGAGGCCACCCGAAGAACAAATCAGTCTGCTGTGGGGGATGAGAGGGAGCAATGCTTTGCCAGACAGTAGTGATCATAGCTTGCAGTGCTGATGTGGCACGTGGCGAAGACCTGCGTTACTCCCCCTGCCACCTGCAGGCCTCGCTCGTGGGGCTCCCTGGCATTGCAGCAGAGGAGTGCAGCGCTCTGTGTTTGCTCGGCTTTGCAGACTTTGGCTGACAGAACTTGCAGTGCTGGCTCCAGGCTGCAGAGCGGAGTGTTTCATCCAGGCCAGCACTAGGACCCCGTGGGGTGTGGAGAAGGGAGCAGAGAGGGAGTGGTTGTGGGAGCAGAAAAAGGAACTCCTTTATAAACTGGGCGGGCACTCCTCCTGCTGAACCAGGCAGGAAGGGAAAGGCAGGAACAGGCTCGCCCAAGGGCAGCTGTTGCACCCTGAAGAAAGCAGCCAGCATTTAGAGCGCCTGACAGGAAAGCGAGTGCTGTGCACTGAATAATGTGCCCAGGGTCTGCCCCTCACACCCTGTTGCTGCCTGGCCTCCCCCAAGAGAACCACCAGAGACAGGCGCTCTGACTGTTCCGAGGCGGGGAAAATGGATGAGGAAACAACAGGCGACTTGGAGACCTTGCTGGAAAAGCCAGAGCCAGCTGAGCTGAGGAAACCGGTGATCTTCAGAACTTACAGGCGGCGATGGTTCCTGCTGGTGGTGGTCTGCCTGCTGAACTGCTCCAATGCCATGGTGAGTACTGGTGACACTGCCCTCAGCGCTTACACCTGTTTTCTTGTGGAATCCTGACATTCTGGTCCGGAACAAGCCTGCCTTTCTGTGACACTGGTGGGGAGAGAGCTCTGTCCCAACTAGCATCTGCAGCAGACGAGCTTCTAACAAACAAAGATTTGTCTTAATGCATGACCTGTGATAATAAATACACTGTGTCCTAAGCACCTGTCTAGGCAGCAGCCACTTAGGATTTGAAAAGAGCAGAAACTTTACTCAGTGTGATAAGCTAAAAGGCGTGGTAACCTTAGCCCAGGCCGAGAGATTTCACAGCAAAACTAAAATATGGAGGACACTATCTTCAAATGGATTTAACGAGTAGGAAAAAATCTGATCTAAGCAGCCTGCCGAGGATTCCTTTGGGAACTTCCCTGGTCTCGTGTATTTACATAGTTTGTCTGGGAAGTTACAAAGAACTATTTTCCATGGCAACCTAACAGCAGCAAGCGTTAGACAAAACCAAGCTGGAAAATACGCTAACACAGCTGGTATAAATTTAATGGGGTGCTTGGTTAATCATGCCTGATTTTTGTATGCTGCTTTTATTATTTTAAAGTGTTTGGAGAGCTTGGATGGGGTATTTGAATTGGAATCCTGCCACAAAGGCCTAGTTCACACTAGGAAATGCTTGTCAATACAGCTATAGATATAGCCTAGAGGCAGCTTGTTCCAGAAAAAGGGTGATTTGCCAGCATAGTTGATGCCAGTTCCCCAAATAAAATAAGCTGTATCACTGATATAACTGCATCTACACTAGGGGCTTTTGCTGGTATAAAAAAATTATAAAAAAAAAATCACATCCCTAAACAACATTACTACACTAGCAAAAGTTTTAGTGTAGACCTGGCCAAAACCTTGTACCTTGGTCCAGGACTGGCCTTGGCAGACCTGTGGGGGGAAGCCAGGACTCTGTGTCCTTGGCTCACAGCAATGTTTCTTTCTCTGAGAAATTTCAGTCACATTGCAAGAGGAAATGAAAAACCTTAAATCATTTTAAAGTCAAACATCCTTGCCAATGTCTTGTCTGCAGTGATGTGAACATGGATGGCATCTTACTTCATACAAGTAAGAACATAAGAATTGCCACATTGGGTCAGACCAATGGTCCATCAAGGCCAGTATCCTGTCTGCCGACAGCGGCCCATACCCAAACTTTGAGGGCGGTGTACAGAACAGGGCTGTTGGAGTGATCGACCTCTGTCTTCCCCTCCTCACTTCTGGCAGTCAGAAGTTTAGGGTCACCCATGGGCTACCCCCATGGCCCTGCCCCTTCTACACGAGGCCCCACCCTCTGCAGCAGGAGCCCTGAACCTCCTCGCGTGGCCAGAGAAGTCCTGGGCTTGCTGGCTTGAACCTTCCCCCCCAACCCCCTCGCCACCAGAGCAGCCCCTGGCTTGCTCCAATCCCGGGCCAGCTGGTTAGCAGCACCAGGTCTGTGTCCCACTGCAGAGCCTTCCCTGGCCTATTATCCCTGCCATCCATGGTGTAACCCAGAGTGTGGGGTTGCATCCCTGACCATCTTGGCTAATAGCCATTGATGGACCTATCCTTCATGAACTTATCTAGTTCTGTTTTATAGAGTCAAAGCTCTTCAGCAAGGAACTCAAAAGTAAGAACTGAGCACACTAGAAGACCTAAACTTGCCATCAACCAAGTGCAAGTAACGAGCATCTTTTTGTCTTGAACATGCTATTTTCTTGCTTCTTTTCCAATCTGCATCACAACACTTCCTTTCTCACCAGCAAGATACAACATGGGACCCCCCGGAAGTCTGCTTGCCGTAAAGCAAAGTGGCTAGCAACAGAAATTACAAGATCACACCAGACTGAAATGGTGCAAATTCTATTAAATGGCATTAATGACACTTGCTACTTAAAGGAGCGGCTGTGCCCTAGGTACACTGAGTAGCTCCTCAGTCTGCAAAGACCTAGCAGGATTAGTAACGGAGGAAGGTGCTATTCAGCATGAGCAAGGGTGGCACAATCTAGCCCATAATGTTTTGAAGATAGAGTTGGAAATAGCTTGGCATCGGTGAATGGGCATTAGGCTTGGTTTCCTCACTGGCATAAAGCAACAGGCTCATCTAATTCTCAGAAAATGGACCAAATGTGCTTCCTTTAGAGCCTCTTATGAGCTGTTTGTTATGATCCAGGTTTAGAAAAATTGGATTTATTGGACAAAGCAGGCGTCTTTTCTGTAAGGGCTTGCCTGCCTTATAAGTACAATGGAGTTATTGTGTGTGCTTCAATGCTCTGATCTAATCCTGCCTTCAGACGGGATTGAATTCTGCCCTGGCAGCACCTTTCCACAACTGTCAGCTCTTGTGCGCTCACTCCCACTACCCTGCCCAAGTCTTGCAAACAGCTGTGCACATGAGCAACAATCCAAAGGGGCTACTCGTGGGCCTGTGTTTACAGGATTGGGGACCCTGTTTGTATAAGTGCATTCTCTGCATAGCTCTCCTATACTGCCTCAGCCACGGATCAAGTGGTTTTTGACATGCACGCAGAATGACACCAATAGAAACACTGTGCTAAGGCCTGGGAGAATTAGCTGAACTGCGTTGCACAGATCCTGGGGCCCTGTTCACAGAGCAAAACCAGCATAATGAACACGAACACAAGCAGGCAGACAGGCAGTCCGGGAAGCTCAAAGAATATCAAGAGCTGGAGAAAGGATGAAAATTCCTTGTGAATGTTTTATTATAAAAGTTTTGCAAGACTTGTAATATTTGAAAACGGCTGCCCAGTCCTACTAAGCTGGCAAATAAAGAACTAAGCTTTAATCAATAAACAGGTACAACTTTTATTCAACCAGTGCCAGCAACAAACAATTGAGGTGCAGTTGGAAAGACTTAGAGCCTAAACTAATGAGGCCCAAAGTCAATGGGAGTATTTTCATTGGACTTTGGTGGTCAGGTTCTAAAAGCAAGGGGTCTGAAAAGTTACTTGTATGCTTAAGTGCTTGCAGCAGAACCAAGCTATAAACACCATACACTGGCTAACTGACAGCTTGCATGCATGGGCATGCAAATCATTCATAGATATTAGCAGGATTTAAATATGATATAAGAAGAGAGTGATTGGGAGAAATAGGATGAAATTAAGAAAGGGAAACTCTAGGTTAAATATCTTGAAAAACCTGACTGTTAGCTCTAAGACTGTGGAACAATCTGTCCAGGGAAATGATGGAAGCCCTGTTTTTTTGAGATCACAGCTCTAGCAAATACGTGGCAGGAAAGGGGATGGAGTAGATATAGGAATGGAAGGTTTCTGGCCAATGGGAGCTGCGGAGCCAGCGCTCGGGGAGGGGGCAGCATGCAGAGCTTCCCTGGCCACCCCTGCACTTAGGGGCCGCAGGGACATGCCAGCCACGTCTGGGAGCCACGCAGAGCCAGGGCAGGCAGGGAGCCTGCCTTAGCCCTGCTGCACCGCCGACCGGACTTTTAATGGCCCAGTCACCAGTGCTGACCAGAGCTGCCAGGGTCCCTTTTCAACCTGGTGTTCCGGTCAAAAACCGGACATCTGGTAAACCTACTTCATGGCTATAAGGGACAGGGCATTGCCAGTCAGTCTTATATGACAGGGATAAATCATGCATGCAGATCATGCATCCAAGTCATGAAATGGTCTACAAATGCAATAAAAAATAAGGTATTCAGAAGTTTAACAAATGGGGGCGGGGGGGCACTGAAGACACTCCTCATCTGCGGCACCTTTTGGTCTAGGACCGGCCCTGATCAAAACTGTATGAATAATGGACACTTAAAATGGGTCCCCTCCACAAGTATGCAGATATAAGTCTGGGTTGGCTTTGTTCTTGGTCTCTTTCCCAGCCCCAGAGATTCTAACCTTCCTGCTGCCCAGTCAGTCTCTTTGCCACCCTTCCGACACTGGCCATGGCGTGAATGAAACTCTCTCACACAGTAAGTCCCCATGCCAAAGACTGAAACGTGGTAAAATGTGTGTTTTAATAAATCCGTAAGTGTAGAAACGCTGCGATCTTAAAACAGAAATAAAACCAGTGAGGAGAAAGGAAACCACACACACACACTGCCAATTCAGTCCCATTCGGTGCCAGTCTCAGATTGTCCTGCAGTGCCTATGTATCAATGATTACAACCTTGAAAAATCAAGATAGAATTATTGACCCTCCCAAAGGTGCTCTCTCTGCTCCAGCTGTCCACAGGGGTCTCCAATGTGACAGGAAAAAAAAAAAGAAAGGTACTTAGGTACATGGTGTAATAAAGTGCCCATGCAGCTAAACACACTGGCACCAATTCCCCGTTGCTCTGCACCTTGTCACATACAGCCGTGCACAGTGGCTGTGTGCCTCTGACATTCTGCTCTCGTTGTGCTGTGCGCCCATTGTACAGGTGTGCAGAGTGGTGGGGAATCGGACTCACAACACTGACTTAGGACTGAGGCATAAGGAAAGCTCTTCTAGCAAAATGTCACAGGTCTTATTACCCAGGCCTGTATGTGGTATCTCAATCAACTTAAGCCATAAAATTTGGTACTCTGCAAACTTGAAAATGTAGATATGGACCCAGTGAGTTTGGGAATTTTTAAAGTAAAACTACAATAATTTCTATAAGGCCAATATACTGTAGGAATCAATGGGCTTATGAAACTCCTTCCTTCCTTAGACTATGCAATAAATTGGCCTTAATTAAATTCCTTGCCCCACAAAAGCTTGTGGCTGAAACAGCCACACTTGTAACCAGGCAACAAGTAAAAATGTATTGGGGAGGGAGGTTGTGGGGGGGGGGAATATTCTGGCTTCAGGAAAGGTTGTATAGAAATAAAGTTAGGGTGAAGCTAGCTATGTCTAGTTAGCTAATTCCTTTAAAAGGACCAGCCTAACTCCTCTGCCCTACACCTAACTGAGTCTTAAGTCAAAAGATCACGTAAGAAGTTTCACCTAGAACTCAAGCAGCAAACAGAAAAAGGGAGACCAAA